TCAAAAATTTGGTTGCTACATAGTTAAAATAATAGCTAGTGTTGCCATACAAACCAAAAATGTAAAATCATTTTTAAATAAATAGTATATATTTCATAAGTTCAATAAAAGCTTCAGGACTCAAAGCTGCTTCCTACCATTACAATTGCATTTGGGCTGTCCAGTCTCAGCCTGAAACTTTATTTGCTGTGGTTTATCACTGTGGCTATTTACCTCTCTAGCACTAATTTTACTTGTATTTGTTCCAAAATAAATTTCACATTTTTCTTAACTTGTTTTTCCTAATTAAACTTTCTTTATAAGTTCCTAGAATATGTGTTATTAAAACTCATTATACACATTCACACTTGACTACCATGCTTGGTTCTACATCCATACATTGAAGTGCTTCTAGGTGATACATAGGGGAAAAATTAAATAATAAATACAGAGACTTGAACGTTTTATGAGTGTCAGGATGAGAGAGTGCCTGCAAGGCCCATAAGGTTTCACACAAAAGAGGCATTACAGCTGAATCTCACATGCTGACACATCCCTCATCTATAAACTCTGCAGTAATGGCAGCAGTAAAGCATCCTTCCATTGAGTAGAATTTCTCTCTTACATGCAATGGGAATAGGCACAGAAGAGATTATATTGACTGCTATAAAAAGAATTCAAATAAAACTCCCCAAAGTTTAATGTCTAATAATTTCAAATGCCTGGAGTGATTTATTGGTTTTCTCTGACTTCAGTTAAGCTTACACTTGGCAGTTTTTCCCCCAACAGATATACCACCAAAAGGGAACATAAGTTTAGGTTTTCTTTACCTTTCTCTCTTTTGTATTTTTTGGGAGGAAGGAAGTACAACATACTTTCATCTCCACTAGATTAAGTACACTTAAAATAATGTCTTGCTGTTCAAGAACCCATCTTGGAAATAGCTGGGAATCTCAGGGCCATAGGACTGGCTACCCCCAAGATATTATGTTATCTTTTATATTGATATATAATAAAAAGTATGTTCTAGTTTTGTTGACGGTATTCATTAATTCAATCTTTTATTTTCAGGACCACACAAATTTTGAAGTTTAAACATTGAAATTCCAATTCATGTAAAGGTGAGCTTTTTATTGTAGGTACCAATAAAGAAAAAGAGAGAGGTTTTGTACTACAGATAATGTATGTTGAATTTCAATCATGCAAAAAAGTAAACTCTCCAACTCAGTGCACTTCGACTGAATAGCAGGTAGAATTTCATCCTTTTTAAAAAATGGGGAGTCACAGTGAATGTGGTTAATCATATCAGAACCATGAGAGCCACTATGTTAGTAATGTCTGGACTTTAGGCCAGTTAGACCATATGGAAGATAGCAATACCCAGGGGAATACAATATCAATACTGCACACCAATAGCTCTGGGGAATCCAATACTTATGTCTTTCACTTACATTAAAAATGGTATTTGCAATTTTTCAGCATTAGTTTTGAATTTTTAACCTTCTGGTCCAAATTTACACATGTTGTGAAACTCTAATATAAACTAAAAGGAAACAATCAAGGACATTGTGTTTCTTTGAGAAATCATTACAACACATGTGCTGAAGAAAATAGAACAAAATGTAGTTAATTTACCAAGTGTACCCTGTAGTGACTCGCCAATCCTATAAGTGGTCCTTTCTGTTTGTCAACCTGTGCTGGGCTTATATCCATTAGCTGGGTGTAGCTATAAATTTGGAAGTGTTCTCTATAGGCTACAGCCTTTGCTACTGGCTGTCAACATGGACTTACTATCTTCAAGGTGTATCAGAAAGTTGTACAGAGATTTACTGTAGAAACATCATCAAGGTTCCAAGAGGACTATACAAAAAGATCAAAGCTGCCCTTTTTCGTTCTCACGATTCAAAAAGCATAATGAAGCCTTAGAAAATATCAGCTACTCTTGACAGAAAAATATTTCCCAGCTACTGTAGAGTTGTGTCAAGTCACTCATCCTTGTCATTAGTCTGAGACTCTCAATCACCACTACTTTATTGATTTTAGAATATGCAAATTAATTTTTAAAGGACTTCTATCTAATATTTTGGATTTCTAGTTGCCTTTATTTCAATAACTGTATTCTCAATTAGCCTAGAGAGAGAAATATAACCCACCCACCATTCAACATATTTTATTGATATTGTATTATAAGTTAATACTATTTGTATTATTATTTGGATAGTTAGTATTCCTGGACTCTGTGGCTAGGAGCAGTGACTGGGATGTACCACACACAGAGCATCCATTCTTTGCCTTCCAGACCACACTAACCATGTGACAGAGGAACATGGAAAAGTGGCAGAGCCAGCTTCATAAACATCTGCAGAAAACGAAGGAACTTGTAGAAACTCTTGCTTGAAATCCATCATTTTAGAAAAGGTTAACTCAAACCACAGAAACAAGAAGGAGCCAAGTCTCCACTTTAAAATTCCTGGGACACAAAACTTTTCAACTTGGCAACTGCATCTTTAAAATATAAATCTCATATGCTAGCTTCAGAATTCAGTTTAAAAACACATGGGCGAATCCAGGGGTGAAAGTTTGGTAAGACTCCCTCTTGTCATAGCCAGAATGATATTTGAAGTTTGTCTAAATAAGTATGGGAGCGGACAAGCTCAGATGACATTGAAGAGTTGTCTTTCTGGTGACTCCAGACTTCACACATTTCACAATGTATCAACACATATCCTGGGGAAATGTCTAATGCTTGCTTTGGGAGACTAAAGTAATACCAGATGCAACGATTTATATGATGACAATTACCTTTCTTCATTTTTATTTCAGTGCATTTGACCCGTTGCTAGTTTAAAAGCAAACGCTCAGCCTTAAACAGAAAAAAGCCAACTTAAGAGACTGAAACGTGAAGGGATTTGAGGGAGTTTCCTCAATCTAAGCCATCTCTAGACACGTCTATACAATTTATAAATACTTGTATATTATATATTACTATGGAAGTATAATTGTGCTGGAGCTATGTGGATTGCAAACTTCAGGAAGAATAATGTCTTTTTCGGATTCCAAAGCAACTTTTACTTCCCTAAGTCAGTTAATATTCACGCATTTGAGAGATTAATTTTAATTACCGCTGGCACAATCGATTTCCTTCTGCGAGCACAGATGAGTTTTTTTCCCCCTTAGAGCTACAAAATTTCTTTAACTGAAAAAAAATGTATATTTTAACCTAAATTCAGTTGCAAGAAAATCGCTAGAAACTCAAGCACTCGCAGCTCACTGGAGAGAAAAGCTAGGAGTCAGGAGAGGAGGGAAGCAGGATAAAATCCCAAAGGTGGCTGGATGCCTGGCGCAATCAGCCTGGGCCCTAGGCTGAAATATTGCTAAGAGGCTCATCTAACTCAAGAAAGTTAAGTTGGACTGTATGATGCAAAGTCCTAAAAGGCAGTCACAAGATAACCTGTGTGGCAGAATCCCACTTCTTCCTCCTGGATCAGATGCAGCGACTGTAACCCTTTAGTGCCCGATTGAAAGAAGGAGGTGGTGGGGAAGGGCAGAAAGAAACAAGAGGGTGGGAACATTGGAGCTTATGAATAAGGCCATCCTCTTACTGACTGCATCCCCAGCGAAATTCCCCAAGAAGCTTAGACAGTCTGGGAAACTGGGCCGAGGCAGCACAAAGACGACCGGAGCTCTCCCCCAACCCCCAAGCAGGATTTTCTAAAGCACTGGCTGTCTCCTCTCCTTAAAGTATCTCTAGGAGAAAAAATCGCCGGGTCCAAGAGGGATCTCCCTGCTGAGAGATTTTTTTTTTCAAGGCAAAGTTGAGAGACAGGCTGCTTGGCTTTCCCACTGATGCCACAAAACCTAGGTTTTGAAGCCCGGTACAGGCGGAGAGGTCGCAATGCCTTGGAGATGCGCGAGGTGGGCTTCCAGTCTGCTCGCCCCATTTCTCCGGCGCCGTGTCCGCAACCCCTTCAGCACAGTGATACCCAAACCCGCAGCCCTCTCCCGAGCAAAGAGGTACAAACTTACCCTCAGGAAGATACATCCACAGTAGGAGCCCCCTCATCTTCTCCCAGTCCTTTTTCAATTATTCAAGGAGACAGTTTTAACAACACTTCCCAGTCAAATTCAAGCCGAAATGGTCAAAGTATTTACCAGTTTGCAGATGCTTTCTTTTCAACCTCTGGAACTGGGTAATTCTTGTTTCAGAATTCAAGATGCTTCCCTTATTTATTTATTTATTTATTTTTCTTTAAGCAGCCGCAACCCCAGATCCACCTCCCCCTCCCTCGTTATTCACCCACGGACACTTCCTCAACGTGTGGATTGATGCTTTTTTTCTCTCCAGATGCTGCCACGATCCAGAATCCTGGAGAACCAAAGCCGCATCCGTGTAATTCCGACCATCAGGCAAGAAATACAAACGATCAAACAACGTTACTTCTTTGAGCTGCGATCAGATAATCCTACTAATCCAATAGATTTATCTCGATTGGAAATTGACCTCAAAAATGAATTCCCAGTGCTGGTGTCCAGTAGAACGATTCCATAGCCCTATCCGGGTTACCGAGGGGCCGTGGTTTCTTTCTTTCCTTTCCTTTTCTTTCTTCCGTCCTTCCTTTCTTTTCTTTTAAAAAATCTTTTTGGATTCTGGGTGCACTGCTTGCAAAAAAAAAAAAACGAAAAGAAAAAAAAAATGCCGAGGACCCTGGTTTTCCCCTAATACAGGTTTCTACTCCAAATCGGTGCAGAATGAAAAATGATACAAAGGTACCCCTAGTGGCTCGAGGCGATATTGCAGGGAATTCACTTTTTTCCTCCATCCCTTCTTCACCTTTTTCACCCCCTCCCTGGTCCCCTGGCATCTGGGGATAACTTGCTGTTATAGTAACCAGAGGGGCTGAACCCTGATTAATACTAATAAAATGAATCTGTTTAAGCAGGTAGGGTGGCTTTTGCCCTCTACTGGAAAACTGAAGGTCTGTGTTTCTGATTCTTTGGCATTTAAAGTTTTCCGCCAATAGCATTTAATAGTAATGTGTCAACTTAGGGAAGCACTGTGATGTGATTTCAAAGAAATTTTTTTTCTAAACACCTCTGGTTAGTAGTTAGCGCACACACACACACACACACACTTATCCCCAAAAGTACTGTTCTTCCTGAAATATATTGTTTTCAGAAATCCATTTAATCTTTTGTTTCCTTTGAATAAGTATAATAAAGGATATGAATTATTTAGATAATATTTTATCATTTGAGATTTTTAAACATTTTCAACTAAATCTATTTTTTGTCTGTGTGTATACGCATGCATAAACTTGCACCTTGCAAGTACATATGCCAGAACCTATGTATGGAAGACTGAGTACAACTTTCAGGAGTCAGTTCAGTGCCCTCTAGTTCATGGACCCTAGGGCATAAATCACATATTTGGGTTTGATATGAAGCATTTTTCCCACTAATCCATCCTGCCAGCTTTCATTTCAGAATGAGATTTGTTTGAAATATATGTGTTTTTATCATTTTTCTCATGTATACATATGTGTGCATATGCTTATGTGTATGCTGTCTGTGTGTGCAGATGCCTGTGGAGCACAGGAGAAGTTGTTGGATACCCTAGAGCAGGAGAGATAGGCTTTTGTGAGCCATCCAGCAAGCGTGTTAAAATTTGGGTTATCTATAAAAGCAGTAAGTACCGTCACTGTGAAGCCATTTCTCTAACCTATTATTTTGGATTTTTTATGTCTGTTCAGAAAAGCAGGCATAATGTCTTTGAATGCAGGGAAAGGGCAACGCCTAAGCATCAAGACCTAGGTCTCCATGATGCTTCCTTGAAACCTTGAGAGTTCAGCAGCCTCTGCATCAGCACCAGGAGCTCTGAGAGGTTCCAAAGAAAGGGATCAATGCTATGAATTTCAGGCTTCTTTTGCAAAGCAATATTCTGCATAGTCTTGCAAATAGTGTCTATCAATAAGCCAGCAATCTTTTAAAAAATGAAGATTCTAGGTCTTTAGCACTGAGATTCTCCAATTTTAACAAGCCCTCTGAGAACACTTTGATTATCAAGGGCCTGGTAAAATGCAGAAGCTGGATTCTCTTTCATGCTGATGGGTTCCATAGCTGCAAAAACTGGAAAATTTTTCTTAACTGACTAAATAATTAAGCCTTTAAGTGTGTGAACTGTTAAAGAGTCAGGAGACATTTCTTCTACCACTAGCTTTGCTGTTAATTGGCTATGTGACTTTGAGCAGTAACTTTTGCCGATGGTTAATTTATCTATTAAAATTCAAAATAAATCAACAAATGCATATGCTTCTAGATGGAAGATTCAATATCATAAATTAATCTATAATACAAATAAAATTATTATTAAAATATCACTACAGTTTATTCACAGAACTTGAAAAGTTAGTTCAGAAATATGTAAGCAAAAGCAAAGAGTAAAAAATAAACTGCTTCAAAGAGTAAAAATTAAAACCGAAGGAGCAAAATTCATAGAGTTGCAATGTGAACTATTAAGTCTGAATCCAGAATGGCTGCAGTCAAAGCTTTGTCATAGAAACTAGCGCAAAGGAATAGATAAGAAATCCCAGAAATTTTTGCCTACATTTATGGAAACTGGATAAATAAAAGGTACCATTAGAAAACAATAAAAGCATATGAATTATTCAGACATGGCATCATGCTTATGAAAAAAATAGATTTCTAGCCTTTCATCATACCTGAGTTTCTATTTAAGATAGCATAAAGGACAAAAAAATAAATGAACCAGAAAGTACTTACATATTTCTCATCAGCATGTTTTAAACAATGCAAGTCAAAAATATGCCATGCACTTGACCATGGAGAAGTCAAATGACCCACTAAGTGTCTGAGAGGGCACCCAGTGACCTCTGGTCTTCAGAGAAATTCACAGCACGATGGTAAGATCACACTTCACAGCTACAAAATTGGCTGGAATCACAAACTTAGTAGCCCTGCATAATGAAGATGTGAAGAAGCTAAAGAGAATAGAATTGGTGAAGGTTCAGAGGGCTCAAAAAACACCCAAAACAAAAATTACCAGGTAAGCTCACAGCCTACAAAATTATCTTCCTGTTCCTAGACATTATCATTGCAGAATTGCTTTAAAAATCTAAAAGTTTATAGCCTAACTACTTCCAAGTCAATAGAATATTAACATACTATAATAATAGAAGAGAGATAAATGAGAGTCTCTTAGCTACTTGAGTTGTCATGGATAAATCTCAAAAATATTACATAGACAACAATATTGACTATTGACTGAGATGTCTAATGGATATTAATTACTAAATCTATACATTTAATATAATGATACTAGACAGATGACTTATTGGTTAATATCATTTGCTGCTACTTCAAAGAAATGGGTTTTGATTCTCAAAACTCACATGGCAGCTCACACTCATCAGGAATTTCAGAGGTCTGGTGCCTTTTTCTGCACACCATTGGCACTAGTCACACACATAATGCATATACATACATTCAGATAAACATTCACATCCATACACATAAGAAATAAATATAAGTGAATCTTAAAAGCATGTGGAAATTGTGGGTCTATTAATTTGTGGAACATGGGTATATAGCCCCAGTTTATTATTTTAGTAAGAGAATAAGCAAAAATTCAGTGCCAAGATTTCCTCTGGGAAGGACTGAGTTAATGAATTTCCACCAGCATCTTGAACATCATCACCTGAATCCACAGAACTTTATTTCCCATGCTGTAACTTGAGCTACTCTTACATATAAATTAATTCTATACCTGAAATATTTCATTAATATAAAATACTTAGACTAGATGATTTCTGTGAATCCTTATAGCATTATATATTTTTTAATTATAAGTTAAAACTTTCAGAGGGAAATAGCTTAATGACTTTGAGTGCAAGTTAAGAAAACCATTTTCATTTAGTGAAAAGAAAAACATGGACATAAAACATAAGTCAATGTAGATATTTTAAAAATGTAAAAACTCAGAATTCTTTTTACTGAAAAGAGATTTTTCATACAATTCTTCTAAATACAACCCAACCACAGTTTTCCCTCCCTCCACTACTTCTTGAGATAGATTGATTCCCAGGTTTCTGAGGGACCCCAATATTGGTTTTTATAGTGGCTGTACTAGTTTTCACTCACACCAGCAATGAGAGAGTTCTCCTTGCTCCACTTCCATGCCAGCATGTGGTTTTATTTATATTATTGACCTTAGCCATTATGACAGGTTAAAGATGAAATCTCAAAGTAGTTTTGATTTGCATTTCCCTGATGGCTAAGGATGTTGAACATATCTTTAAGTGTTTCTCAGCCATTTGATAGTCCTCTGTTGAGAATTATATGTTTAGATCTGTATCTCATTATTAAATTTGGATTATTTCATTTTTCATTGTTTAGTTTTCTGAGATATTTATATATTTTGGCTATTAGACCTCTATCAGATGTGGAGTTGGTAAAAATTATTTCCCATTCTGTCGGCAGCCGTTCTGTCCTATTGACAGTGTTCTTTGCCTTACAGAAGATTTGTTTAAAATGCTTTATTTTTTTCCAGTGCACATTTGTCGTTTATCAAAATTCAGGCATCCATAGAAGTGTGAATTTATGCCTGGGCCTTTAGATCAATGCCACCGTCCAATGTGTCTGTTTTTACGCTGCTACCATACAGTTTTTATTACTATAGCTCTGTAGTATAACTGGAAATCAGGGATAGTGTTAACTCCAACAGAGAATTCAGAATTTTCTAAATGTTCTCTATGGAGAAATTTTTAAATCCCACTATTTTACATTTCTAGGAAGTAGAAATGGATTCAGAGTTATTTGTTTCTACAATGATTAATAGAATTTTCAGATAACAGGCAAAATTCACCATCAAAATCAGAAGAAAATGTGGTAGAAATGGAGAAGCAGGTAACACATAACTAGAACATTCTTTCATTTTCCTTTGATCTCATAAACACTATTCATTCGGGCCTCTGGAATGGTAGGAGGGATGATCAATGGATCATGCTGTGTTTCACCACTTACGGAGAAACTACCAAAGCCAGAGAAACTACAAGCAAAATTACAACACAAAATTTTCTACCAGAACATTTCAAATATGTATGTGAATTCAAACTGAATATTTGTCCATACGACAGATAAGAAATGAAAATTTCATTTCAAAGTCACTTGGCA